AGCGAGTAGCCCCTGAGAAGAGCTCGTGCAGTGCCAAGCCCTTCATAGGGGACGGGGGCCGCAGAGATGAACAAGGCGTGGACCCTGCCCCGGAGGACTCACAGTCTAGTGGACCTGGGAGGGGGCAGGGGAGGGGAGTTTCAGGTCTGGGATTTGTGTTTTACTTTAGGGGGAAAATTGCCATTTTTATCACAAAGGGTTAATTTTCTTAATATCAAAATAACTCCTGCAAATAATAGGCAAAGTCCAATAACTCGGTAGGAAAACAGGCATAGGAACAGACAATTTACAGAACTAGAAATACAATCGGCTCTCAATTATATCAAAAAAGACTCTTAACATCACTCACAGGAGGAGAAATGCCAGCTAAACTTTGAAATCCTATTTTTCACATATGGTTTGGCAAAGATAAAAGAAGGTTGAAAATACACAGTGTTGGCAGAGAGCAGGAAACAGGCACTCTCATACTTGGCTTGTGTGAGCAAAAGCTGGTATAAATCCTGCGGAGGGCAAGTTGACAAAAGCTGTCAAGTTTAAAATACACATACCCTTTACCCTGGAATCAGTTTCAAATTCTAAAAACTTCTCCTCCAGATACACTCTCCAGATACTCACATACATACTAAGTGATATACGTACACTCATTGATAAGGCTATTCACTGCAGCACTGTCTGTAATAGCGAAATATTGGAAACCAGTCCCTCAATAAAGGGCTAGATATATATATACTGTGCAACCATAAAAAAAGAGTGAGGAAGTTTTTTGTATGTATTTCTCTGGAGGGAAAATTATAACATGCAGAACAGTATATTTGATATACTACCACCATCAGGCAAAAAGAAAATTCCTATATATGTACAGAATATTTCTGGTAGGATATGAAAGACATTGGTGACCGTGGGTGTGTCCTGTGAAGAAAGGAGATGGAAAGGGACAGAAGAGAGATTTACTTTTCACTGCATATCTGTTGTACATTTCAACTTTGTAGCATGTATTTCTGTTTTAAAAATACTTTTCCAGGAAGCAACTGCTAAATAGTCTTGTGCAACAATCTAGATGGGTCCATAAGATGCCGAAGAATGGACATGTCCCTAAAGATCCTCAGAGCTGGAGAAGGCTAGGAAGCCTATTCCCAAAATCTAGTACAAATGTCTGCTTAAATCCCATCTGAGGATTCAAGACTTGAGCCTTGATGGTACTCTCATGGCTACCCTGACTCCCCACATACACAGTTAAGCACTGCAGTGCCAGGACTCCCCCAGCATCCTGTTTGTAGCATCATGTGTTTGTTCAATTGATGAACACTTTCTAAAAGGTCACTCTATGCCAGGATCTGTGGCTGGTCTGCAGAGCCAGAACCGAATCAGATAGCCCAGCTTCAATAAGCTCACAGTCAAGTAGGGTAGACAAAGAAGCTACAGAATCTGTTCTGAGGGACTAGAAGGCCCAGGGGAGGGGGTGACTGACCCACTAAGGGGCTTTAGGAACACAGGGGAGGATCTACAGAGATATGAAGGCCCAGAGTAATTATGTGCCAGGCAGCACACTGGGTAATTTGTATATATGCCATCTAATTGCCATGGCCACCTTGCCAAACCCAATTTACAGATGTGCATATTAAGGCTCAGAAGGTTAATTAAAATTATAGAGATAAAACTATCATTCACCGAATGCTTACCATGTGCCAGGCATTGTGCTAAGAGCAGTAAATATCGTATTTCCTTTAATTCTCAAAATAATCCTAGGAGGTGAGTGTTAATAACCCCATTTTACAGATGAAGGAACTAAGACACAATGACATTAATTAACACACGGAAGGTTAAATGGCTAACAAGTGGCAGATCGAGACAAGTAGCAGAATCCAAAACTGTTCAAAGCCCGAAATCATACACCTTCGCCTTCCTGGCTTGAAGGCCCAGGCTCTCCCCACTTCCCCAGCTGCCTCTCACTAGCTCCATCAAGCAAGGTGTGTGAGCCTGATAAGGATATTCCCCTGTAACATGTCAAGCAGACAAAGGCTGTATGTGTCTTTCTAGGTAGCAACATAGGATTATGTGAGGCAGACAGAAGGTGGTGTTACTTGGCCCCAGTCTATGGTGGTGTTGAGGCCGTGTGACTGACTGCCTTCGAGACACAAAAAAACTGTGGAGGCTGAACACAGCACATCCTCCTGACTTCCGGTCCAGACACAAGCCAACCCGAGAATACGCACGGTTAATTTAACCAGCAGGTGTACCCTGATAACAGGAACAGAATCTGACCCTGTGTTTTCTCTTAGGTGACTGTGGTGAGGGGAAAGTGTGAGGAACTAAAGGTAAGAAAACTGTCTTCGAAAACTGCCACTTTCTAGCTATAGTGTTCTCACCTGAGACACAGGGATAAAAATGTTTCCAGGGGTTGTTGCATCAGATGAGATGAAATACAGCCAGGTGCTTTGTAAATTGTCTATACCAGGTATATGGAATTAACTATGTTTTATAACCATTATAATTGTACCATTGATGATCATGATAAAAATAGTAGCTAACATTTACTGAGTACTTTTTAGGTATCAGGCACTAAAATGCTGTACGCTGCTTTTGACTGTCTCTGTGTAGTTGTCAATAGTAATAAAAGTTAACTTGCCTGGAAGAAATGAATATTCGGCTATTTCCAAGGCTGAATTAGCTTACATTTCTGCTTACCTTCTTACTGTTTTAATCTATATATTGGCAACTCCAAGGTGATGGAGAAATTGTTTGAACTATGGACAACTCAGATCTATGGAGTTCAATGTGCAGGGCCTCCTTCCCCATCAGAATCAATGATCGCATCTCAGTGTGCAAAAGTGCTGTCTTGTTCAAAGGTCAGAGCATTAACTCATCCCAAGATGAAGAGAACTCTCAGAGTGTTGTAAAGAGAAACATTTTTATTGTCAAAGCTTTCTCTTATTTTTCACAAGATGCAAAAGCAAGTCCTTGCTTCAAACATTACGCTGAGGGGGAAGAAAAGCCAGTGGAAGAAGCACTACAGGTGAAAATGATTACAAGACCTGGTGTCCCAGGGAAGGGAAGGAGGGCAGGGCGGTCCCAGCAGTGGGGCAGGCTGTGGACCTAAAGCTAGGAGGTGCCCATTGGCACTCCTTCCTCTTAGCTGTGCCCCCCCACAATCATAAACAGAGGCCCCACAGAGCTGTGACCCCTGGAAGATGAGCTCCTGAAAAACACCTGGGAAAGCAGAGGTCTGGGTTCAACTCAAACTTGGACCCTCCCCGAAGATGCGGTCATTCAGAAATCACTTAGGAGGCTGGTGGGCAGGGAAGTGAGCCCGGAGTCACCCAAACTGGGCTGAGCAGAGTCAGCTTGAGGAGTAGGATGATGTGGGGTTAGAGATGTGAAGCTTGAATAGTGCTGCTTTAAAGCCAAAAAGAAACCAAAACCAAACCAAAACAAACAAACAAAAAACAAAAAAAGAAGAAGAAATAAAGGGACCCTTTGTCTGTGACCCAGAGTCTTAAACATAAGTCACACTCCGTTGTTTCACTGATTTGGCTGGTGGGTGGTTAATTTCATGGTTCTGGGTTCTGGGGGAGGAGAAGAGAGAAGGAAGAGAAATAGTTTGCCCTGTTTTCTTCCCAAAGGATACAACCCACGGTCAGCCAGACTGTCCAAGAATACAGATCTCAAGCAACCACTTTTCTTTATCATGGATGATCATCAAAATAATAATAGCAACACAAAACTAAATACCCAATGCTTTCTCTACATTATCCAATTGAATCCTCACATAAAAAAATAATGAAAAACATCATTGGAGAATGTATACAATGCAACTGGAATAGAAACGGAGTTATAGGAATACACCGTGGTTTACTCAGAGAGGTAAAATGAGTCACCTAACACCGCAGAGCTGGTGGAAGATCGAGGCAGGTTTCAGAGTCAGGGGCAGTGTTCCAAAGGACCTAAAAGTTAATAGCCATGGATCCAAGAAAGCGAAGACATGGAAATTCTCCTCTCCAGCCTGCTCTGAGGATGGACCAGACCATGGAAAAGTATAGATGTATCATCATAGTCCTGGTTTCCTGAGAAATCAATTCTAACCACCACCACCACCACCACCACCACTACAGATGCCCACCACAGAACTATCTAAATCACGCCTTGAGGTGGTCTGTATTTATAACTGTGCAAAGCTCTCCTCCAGTACAGGAAAAGGGACATAAATAAGAAACTTGATACAGGTTTTGCCTTTCAACTAGTTTGCAAGTCAATGAAAAGGTGAAAAGATGCTAAAGAGTTCAGAGAAAGGCTGTGGAAAGGCAGCGGGTTCAAAGATCACCCACTTTGAAATGTTAATGATTTCTGAGAGCCAAGACCCGGGGCAGGGGGAAGTTTCCTATTCCCTCAGCTCTGGTCAATCTGATGGGAGAGCTGACATTTTCCAGTTGCCTTTTCCTGCCCAGCAAGACAAGAGAGATGGCTGAGAAAGTGCAAGCTCCATCTTGACATTTTTAAGAAGAATGCTCAATAGATGTGCAGACGTTGAAGGCTCCAGGCAGCACCTGGCCAGCAGGAGACAATTAACAAAGTCCTTAAGCAGGAGTCACCAATACAAGTACAGGAGACTTCTCCCTGCACAATGCATGCCTCCCTTCCAAAAACCCAATGCAGGAACCTGCCTGCATCTGTCACTCAGCAGTTCCAGGCAGTGAGTACAGATGGTTATAACCACAACTGCTGATCCCAGTGGCGTTTTTGGTTTCAGAGACAGTGGGAACCAACTTAGCTACACAGGTACCCACTTTTCTTATATTAATGCTCAGTTTTGTTTTGTTTTTAAATAGCATCATTTGTGTAAAATATAAGTTGCTGAATTCTTTGACTTAT